AAGTGTTTGTGTCTCTGCCAAACACATGGGATGGCATTCTGGGATCCTGTATGACTTTAATCCTGGTCTAGCCCCAGGTGTTGCAGGAATTTGAAAGCAAACCAATGGATGAAATATCTCTATCTTACTTTCAAGAAAAATGAATGAAATAACTTTTTAGGAAGTGTTAATCCCAGATCTTTAACATTGACATCATTTATAAACTTGTTGGAAATATAAGCAGTTTCCCTATTCCAGAATAAATGAGTCAGAAAATCAAAGAAATGTGACCAAATAATGTGTTTAATTATTCTTCCAGGTGTGAGAAGTTTGATAACTACTGGCCTGTGAAAGCTAGGGAGTTTTCAGAATAAAATGCACTTAGATGTGTTTCTCTCAAGTTTAGATATGGATTGTGGCCAACTCTGGTATTTTCCTGGTATCTGTAGTCTATTATATGTGAGGAAAGCATCGCTGTCATGAAATTCGCTTGACTTTATAACTGTAAGAAATTAAGTGCTGAGGCCATTTGTTTTGTCTTTATGTTTTTAAAAAGGCTAATTTGTTTGAAAGGCAGAGTTGTAGAAAGAGAGGAAGGGAAATACAGAGATGCTGCATCGGCTGGTTCACTCCCCAAATGATCCCAAACAGCTGGGGCCGGGCCACACAGAAACCAGAATCCTGGAACTCCCTCCAGGTCACCCACATTGGTAGCAGGAGCTGGATAATCTTCCACCACTGTCCCAGGTGTGTTAGCAGGGAGCTGGTTCAGAAATGTAGCAGCTGGAACTAGAACCATCACCCATATGTGATACTGATATTACAGGTAATGGCTTGTTCTCCTACACCACAATGCCAGTCCCTTATCTCTTTGAGTGAAGTACACTCTGTATCCACAGCCTTACCCAGATATGCTGATTTAGTAGTGTTGGGGTAAGACCTGGTGCTATGCTGTAAATGTTTGTGTTCTCCCCAAAATATGCATGTGAAATCCTAAGCCCCACTATGATTAGGAGGTGAGGGGCCTCCAAGTCTTTACTTAATAACGTCTTTTCTTAAAAGTTCCTTGGAAGTCTTGTGAAGAGGGGCTAACCCTGGATTCAGTTTCGTGCCTTTATTTTAGTAAGATTGTGGGTCACTGACCAAAAACACATGTAAAGACAGAAATGAGGCATAATTCAGGAGCGAAAAACCTAAGTTGCAAGGAAGAGTAACTCAGGATATCTGAGTTGGTTTTGCTGTTGATGAATAACCCTAGAGTGCAGTATGATGTGTCATGGCACATGGAGGAACAGAGATCTCAGGGGGAGTAGGCCTATTCTCGGCATGTCCTGTTCACCTGCTCTATGAACTCAACCACTGACTCCGGGTTAGTTCGTTTCTTTATAAAGACAGTAGTATTATCTATAACAAACATAGTTATGGGAGAAGAGTGAGATAATAAATAGAATATTACTTTAAAAGCAAAAGCAATGATGCAAATAAAATACATGTATATGTGTTTTTGTATCGTCTATCTGATAATCACTTTAAAAAATAATAATATGAGTGATAGTCCATATTGGGATTGGTTTTTGCTTTGGGAAAATATAAGATGACTTAGTTAATTCCAAATAAATATTTTAAATAATGAACATTTTAAATGACAGTTATCTTTATGTAGCAAAATGTTTTAGCTGCATGTAGGAGCTCTTTTTTAAAAAAGGTTTATTTATTTAACTTGAAAGTCAGACCTACACAGAAAAAGAGAGAGAAGGAGAGAGAGAGGGAGAGACAGCGAAAGATGTTTCATCTATTGCTTCACTCCCTGAATCGTTGCAATGGCCACAGCTGAACTGATCCAAAGCCAGGAACTGGTAACTTCTTCTGGGTGTCTCATGTAACTCTAGGAGCCCAAGGACTTGAGCCACCATCTGCTACCTTCCGAAGCAATAAGCAGGGTCTGGATTAGAGATGGAACAGCTACAACTTGGCACCAATACCCATAAAAGATGTTGTTGCCGCAGGCAGAGGATTGATTGCTATGCCATTGCACTGGCCAATATATTAGAACTTTTCATAGAGCTTCCATTAGGCAAGTTGTAAAGAACTGCATGGAAGGAGCAGAGAGTCACAAGCACTATAGTTTTTTTCATCTAGTGCTGTTTGAAGGGCAGGGATGATGCTGGGTGATTTCTTTTCGACTCTAGGCCTTAATAAGCAAAAGATGTTTTAGCTTTCTCAAGAGGAATTATAAAATGAGCAAGCATGTGGTTAATAAATAGGAAAACAATATATTATGCTAGCTGAACTGGGACACTTTTAAGGTAAGGGGTGGCCGTAGTAGTAACGACACAGGGCAACAGATCAATGGAACCTGGTAAGCCCTAACCTACACAACTTAGCATGAACACTGTCACTGTGTGCCTATGTGAGTCATGTCAGAATGTAATCATTCACAGTAAGATTCCCAAGTATAACAGCCTTTTCATGCGGAGGTCAGCGGTACCACTCTGTAAAGACTGAGCAGACATGGGGCGTCTGAGCAGATGTGTAGGGCACTGCGGAAACCCCAGGAAACTGCCTGGCAGTGAGCTGAAGGAGGCAACTTCAGGCAGTAGGGACAGAAGGAATATTTCTCTGAAGTCAAGTATCAAACATGTGCTTGAGCTGTTGTGTGCTGAGAGGGTACAGGACCAGACACATCAGTCCCAAGCGTAGAGATGAGTGACTGCAAATAAATGCTTTGGGCCAATGTCAGGTCTACCAGATAGAGTTGCAAATAGCTCCCAGTTCTGCACACATAGACATAAATCAAAGACCAATCTTCCAATGCTGACAGCATGAGAAGGACTGGCCACTTGTCACGCTTCAGTGTCCTCAGCCACAGTTTCACACAGGAGAGTAATTACAGTTTGTGGTGTCATCTGAGAGTAATGACGGCAGGGGCAGAACTTGCCAATGAAATGTTGGAGAGGGTTCTGTGCACCCCATGTCCAGAGAAATGGTTTACCTCTCATCATTTATATTTACTCCCCAAATCACAGGGAATCACTTATAAGATTTTCCTTTTGAGGTGTTCCTTCTAATGATTTATATAAAATGTCTTGTTTCCATCTCCAACACCTGCTGCTGTAAGCACATTATAGCCTTTTATGCCTGCTAGGATAAGAAGGCTAAAGAGATTTCAAGGAATAGACTCCTAGGAATATGCCAGTGTTTACATGAGTCACATTATGAGGAGGATTCTAAGTTCTTTCTTTTTAAGATTTATTTACTTTTATTGGAAAGTCAGATTTACAGAAAGAAGGAGAGACAGAGAGAAAGTGCCTGTATGAACGCCTTTTCGTATCCTCGCTGCTCCACTTCCCATCCAGCTTGCTGCTTGTGGTCTGCGAAAGCAGTTGAGGATGGCCCCAAAGCCTTGGAACCCTGCACCCGTGTAGGAGACTGGAGGAAGTTCCTGGCTCCTGGCTTCTGGCTTTGGATTAGCTCAGCTCCAGCTGTTGTGGCCTCTTGGAGAATGGACTAGCAGATGGAAGATTTTCCTCTCTGTCTCTCCTTCTCTCTGTCTATCTGCCTTTCCAATAAAAATAAATAAATAAATCTTTATATAAAAAACCCAATATGGTAAAAAAACAGTCATGTGATATTAATATTAATATTTTTAACTAAATGACAGTAGAATTGAAGATCATCACATTGCCGCTACTTTTGATTATGGTGTTACTGAAGCCTTAGAAGTAGTATAAATTCCAAATTGGTTCATAATTGTTTTATACACCACCATTTTTCCTTTGTAAATACATAAAAATTTTTGAAAGTATTTTCTAACTTCTGGCAAAGGTTTTTTTTTATTATTATGGAAATGTTGTGATTTCCATGGCCAAATTAACTTAAGATATTTGTTCTTTTATACTGATTAAAGGGTAGGACAGTATGCTGTGGTTCAACTGTTAAATCATGTTATTTTTATGGAAAAGGAATGTTCTAAGGACTTTACCAAATGAAATTGTGAACACAGATGCAGTTTTATGCTGTTCAGATTACTAGTAGTTGCATTTCAAATAAGTAGTCTCCATCTTCAGTGACACTAGAGGTGATCCCTTAAATTGCTTTCTTTGATGTGACAAGTTTCCCTGAACTAATTTTAAAATTTTAATTTCTTATATTACATCCTTTAACTCAGAGATCTGTATGCGAATGCTGATTGATCTATGTGTGTCCCAACTGAGAGTATCTAATGTTCAGGCTTTTCCAAAGGTCAGAACCAAACACATTTTGCTAGCTTCCCATAGTTGTAGCATGCGATGAAACTACTGCAGAGCTGGGCTTTCCAGGATGTAGGACCCACAGATTGTCTCTGATGGGACTAAACAGCAGTAGATTGATTGATGACATAATGCAAGTTTTTATAGACACATCTAATTTTGCAGCCAGCTTGCTCTCTGAATACTTGTGATAGATCTTCATTCACTCTCTGGAATTGTTCAGTGCACAGGTTAATTTCTCACTATTGATTTTCTTTATGACGCACCTTGAATGCTTCAAGATCTCTTGACCTATGTAAAATGTCTCAAGGACAGCAATTTTTTTTAAAAAACAATAGGCCTTCAGAAGAATGGTTAAAAAATCTGCAAAGATAATAAAATAACTCTCCTCCAACTGTTAGCTGGGCTGTTTAATCAGACATTTTGATCAGATCTTAAGGAGAGAACACAACCATGAACATTTGCAAGAAGAGGCTTTATATATTGTGGTTTGCACGTGAGTGCTACATTTGTGGGAAGTCTTGAAGAAGCATGGCATTGTCATCAAGGAAATGAAATTTCAAGATAAATCAGTAATAACTGGAGCCACTTTGGATAACAGCCTGGGGACACACAGGACAGGAGGAGGACTCAGAATGGGCAGTCAGAGGAGCCATTAACCATGCCAGGAGTTTGGTCCCGTGGGCTTCTGTTACTGACCTGAAAAACCGACATGATTTGTTTTAAAGGGTCTTCCCAGCTCTATAATTAAATGCTCTATATCAAAGATAATATATAAAATTTTATTAATAGGAAAAGCAATTTTAAAAAAAAGCAAAGTAAAAACATATTTATACCTGAAAAAAAGCTTGAGAACAGTGTTGTGAGCGTGATTCTTGCCTGTAGAGACCCATTTTGGTGCCTGAGTATTGTTCCTCCAACCCATTACTATTGAAAAGTGCAAAGTTCTTTTAAGGGTGCCATATTCTATTCAGTTTTCAAATCATTCCTTTCTTCAACCCTGAAATATTGCTCCATTAATAGAAAATTGCGTCAGAAGCACTTTATTCGTGGGCTTCCAAATAAAACATCAATAATATCAACACTATAGTAAAAAAAAAAATCAACCTAACAAAACCAGAGACAAACAAAACAATGTCTAAATTCCCAACACTGATGAAACAGAAGTGAAGTGAACCAAGCCATTCTCACACATCATGTGGAGTGTAGATTTATTCAGGTTTAAGAGTCTCCTAAACAAATTACATCAACGTCACTCCATTTCCTTCTTTAATAAAAAGTATGACGGACAAACATTGTAATTTTAAAATTCTAAAAATAATAGAAAAGTAAAAAGAGATTTCCTAGAGAAATCCCTCTCCTAAATCTTAAATGGTTTTGTGGCTTCTGTGAAATCTTTCTTTGGAGTAACCTGGTAGCATAGATTTCATTTCTGTTTTTAACTAGGTTCTTACAAGAGCACTGAATTAGAACATCAGTTGATTTATGAAGCATGAACATTTATGAACAATAAATCACCCCACTCTAAAAGGAAAATGGCAAATGTCAACAAAAGCATGGGAGCAGTGGAAATCCAGTTTGCTTTGTGGATTGAGTCTTACCTTAAATATCCCATTCTTGTTGAAAAACAGAACAAAAGGAAACAGAATGGTGTGAGCACTCTAAAATCATCTGCAGCACTTTTAAGGGTTAAACCTGCTTAACCCATTAAGTCAGAGAATGGCACCATGGAGTCCAGCTCACTCCTCCAGTGTGGCTAGTTCTAAACCTGTGGTATCCTTGGCTTGTCAGAGCAGTCATGCACTCTATTTCCACCCCCCTCCCACCCAGTTAATAGTATCCATTCATAGCTACTCACTACTGCAGGATTTGACCTGAGAAATGCTAGGATTTATTAACTCAGCAGTTTTGAAAAGTCCCTAAATAATCTGCCCTTGGCCAGCAAGGGAACTGCTAGTCTCGAGTTCTCAGAAGCAGCTGGTGAGGTTCTTAGCCAAGTTCTTCAGATGCAGGAAGTTCTTCAGGACAACCTACTTTGACGTGGCATGTAGGGATCTTTAAGCCAGGCTTCCCTGGATCTAGGAAATGTTATTCCTGACTCCTCCGACCCAGTTACTGGCTAGAAACAAGTTTGCAATCTGTAGACACTCTTTCTTCCTTCTCTTCTTCTAGGAGCTGGCGTGGTAGCTATATTTTTCTAAAACAGTCATATTAACGTGTTCGAAAACCCACTGCTGAGTCTCGGATAAAGGGTCACATCTGGCCATGAAAATCTTCCTCTCTGCAGGGTTGCAGTCCACACAGCTGTTGCTCACTGGATGGAATAATGTTTTGTCCTGGAGGGATCACAAAGAAAAGACTAACATAGTTCACAGAATAGGCAGAAGAAAAAAAATATTTCTGCTTATATTTCAGTACAAGGATACAAGCTGTGCAACTAAACAATGGCAGATTGAGTTCGCCAGCGTGGAACAGTTTCCTAGGATCTGCTGGCACCATGTAGAGGCCAATGGGTTGAATATCTTGTTCCTGAACTCATGCAGAAATAAAAAAAAACCCATAGTATTTCATTAATAATGCTAATAGGATAGAGAACACAGTTAGGGTGTGAGGAGGGAAATAAAAGGTTACTAGCTTGGATTCAGTCACTGGGGAGGAGTCCCTGGGATGGAGTCCTGGTAACTTTATAGGATAAAGACAGACACGTGTTTCCTTAGTTATGGTGTGATGCCTTGGACTGCTTCAGAGCTCTGCCAGCAAGAGCCCTGTCACCCAAGGACACACCACTGGAGACACACCACCGGTCTTGGACTGGGAATTTCCACAGCAATGAACCCTTTTCTTTACAACCTATGCTGCTTCAGGTATGTCAATGTAGTGATGAAAACTGACTAATAATTACAACCTTCAAACAGGTTCAGTCAGAGACAAAAATGATTCATTTATTTATTGATTCAGCTGTTTGAAACCAGCCACCCATTCACTTCCTGCTCATTGATGCTTGCTGTGCTACAGGCTTGGGTTTTGAAGGCCTGTATGTATGGTTACTTGTCAAGTAGCTAACAAGCAGCTGTTCAGGGAGATACATGTAATTACAGTTAGACCATAGTAAACAGTAATCACACATACACATGCTCAGATGACCAGGAGACTCATGATTTTCATAACTGATGTAGAATCTGTAATGGGAATCAGAGCTACAAAAGGAAGGGAAGAAAGGAAATGCAAAAAGGAAGGACTCAAAGGACTAGGTGCTCTATTGCCCTCTTTAGAAAGTGAGATTAGAAAGGGCAAGTGCCTCACAGACGACAGCTGAAAGGACAAACCGAGATTTGCTAGCTCTTGAACTTCAGTCCCCTCTCAACCCTTACTGTTTGATGCTGTAGGTGTCCTGGTGATGCAGTTCTCTCTGCTTCCTGTAAAATGGCAGAAGCGGTATTTTTCTTTTAAGCAATGGTGTCAAGTAGCTACTACAGTTAGCATCTCAGTGAGTGAAAGGTGCTTATAGGGCACACAGTATAAGTAGTGAACAAGCTTATTATTTGAACAGGCTCTATTAACACACACCTTATTCTTGTACAAAGAAGAAAAAAGAAGGTAATGCTAAAGAAAGATCTTTCCTTAACTACTCTCCAACTTTTTTCTCTATGCTACTTAGGCTAAAAAACAATTGCCAATATTATGAGAAAATGCCCTCAAGTCACTACTGAAATTTTAAAACTCAATAATCTTTATTTTACTGACAAAATATTTAGAGGTTCTGGTTGTTATCCTTTAATTGAGGAAGTCTAAACTTAAAATGGTTTTACTATTAGAAGTACATCAGGCACCCTTTGTAAACATTTCTGCTTTGTTCCTGGATTTCAAGACGCTATCAACCAATATTTAATGTCCGTTTAGGATCCGGATGTTTGCATAGTTTGGAGCTGCGTAAAGGAAGAAGGGGTGAGGAAGGAGGAAGGGCAGCTTGCCTGACGTTTAGCTTGCATGTTTCTATTTTCAATGGAAACAAAGAGGTATGCTTAAAACAAAGATGTGCTATTCCCTTCTGTTCTCTCTAGTGGGAAGTTTCCTAAGTATACTGTGTATTTTACTTTTCCTTAAAGAAGGATACTGAAGTCTCTTTACCATTTTATTATAAATCATCTGCTTCACTCATTCTATTCTTGACTAACTGTGAAGGCTCCAAGAAACCCTCTTGTACTTGGGGACACAGGTAGCAGAGTGCCAGGGGAGGGAGAGTGAGCTCAACAGCTCACCACCCCACATCTTCCTTTAGTCCTAGGTGGTTGCTGCCACAAATTGCCTATGCCCCACATAGGCATCATAGCCCTGTGGGCAGCCATCATTTTCACTGTCTTGCTTTTCTCCCTGTGCCATTCATTTCTCACTCCTGACTTTCACCAATCTAGTTCCATATCAATTCTTAGCTCTACTCTTGCAAAGTGTATGATCTGATCTAATTCTAATTCTGATCTAATCTGATCTGATTCTAATTCATTTGTATGATCTTGCAAAGTGTATGGGATCTGATTCTAATTCATTTTGTTCCAAGTACCTCTTTTCCCCTCTTCACTAACAGCAATTTCCTTCAGCCATTACCTTTACCAGTAGTTCAAGAGAGACCTTGAGATATGCCCAGTTCTCCCTCAAAATAAGTGTTAATCAATGAGAAAAGGAGAAGAGTCTTGACTATGTCTATTCTCGTTTCCTTCACCATCTTGTGTGCTTTAAAGTGGGTGTAAAAGCCAAACCAGACTTTGTGAATATTTTATTTTCTGAGTGTTATTTTCTGGCCATTAGGTGATCCTGGTTTTTCTAATCACATGTTGGAGCACATGTTCTGACAAATACAGGTGTATTCACGGGTGCAATGAAGCTGGATGTATAAATTTGGCACTATTCTGAGCAATCCAGAATATGCTGTCTGAACTTGTACTTCATGTTCTAACGAAAGTTGAGAAAATTTGAATTCCTGTTGCCTATCCAAGTCTGGGAAGCTTCATCAGTAAGATGAGCAAGTGGGTAAATTGCTGAGGTCTCTCCCACCTGTATAGCTGAAAGAATGCTTTATTACAGAGTTCACTGGTGATGGAGACAAATGACAGGGTGTCAAAGCAGAGAGTCCACTCTCTCAAGCAGATCAACTGTTTCCTGGTCACAGACAGAGCTCAGCTCACCCCCATCTCAGGAGTACGCAGGAGGTCCTGGAGATTCAGGCTTGACCAGAGCATCCATTTTTCACTTGTGAACTTGCAGGCTTTGCAATTGTCATCTTGATGTTTATTCTCAGCCAAGCTTTTGATAACTGTCTTAACTGATGATTTTCCTGGCTAGAAATAAGGCAGTTGCTTGTTCCCCTACAGCCCCCTGCTCCTCTGCCCTTAGTCTCATTGGCCATGACCACAAGGGGTACTAGAAGAACAGAAAAGAGTTTTTTCTGGAACAGACCGATGAGTGAGAGCTGGTCTTCCACCATAATCCTTCCAGGAGGACAGCACATGAGCTTTCCCCGCTTCTGCTTGGTTTTTTTTGTTTGTTTGGCCCCAAAGGAGAACACATCTGGTGCTCTGCTTGCTCAGTAACACAGCAGCACATCTTGCTTCATCTCTCCCCCATTTCCTAGATGCCTACTCCCATGGATTTTTTTTTCATGAGAAAATTGTAAAATCTTGAACAGGAAATACAACAGTTGAGATTCAAGATAACCGAGCTACCCATGATAATCATGTTGGTTCCTGGACAACCAGTCCCCATGGAAAAGTAGCTCATTGGAAGGGAGACATCTTCAAAACAGACCTGTGGGCTTGGTTGGCACCATGTGACACTTAGGGCACTTGTAGGTTGGTACCACATTTTATTAGTTTCTATGCTTTTGTAGGGATCAAACTTCAGAAGAACAAGCAAGTTATGGAAAACGTTCTAGACTGTACTCAAAGTCAGAGCTAAACACCAAAGATGCAAAGAAGTGTGTGAGTTCATAATGTATAGCATTATAATTCTGAGAATAAAACTGCCGCACAGTGGGAAGAAGGAAATTTAAGACTAGGGGGAAAAAATTAGAATTTGTGACTTTAGAGGATTTGGATCATACCATGTCACTTGCTTTCTGTGTGACTGAGCAAGTTTTTTAATTTTATGATCTTCAGTGTATCCATAAAAATTTAGATAATACTGTGCCTTATGAGTTTGTTGTGAGGGCAAAATGAATTCATGTGTCAAATCATTAGCATAATGTCCTGCATATAAGTAAATAAATAATAGTGATTATACTAATTAACTTTATTAAAATTGCTTTTCTTTATTTCTAAGAGGAGAGGAAGGGCAACAGGGAGAGAGAGAGAGAGAGAGAGAGAGTCTATCTACTGTTTAAAACTCCAAATGTGTGTAATAATGGGTCTGGGCCAGCTGGAAGATTGGAGTTGGGAACTCAGATCTTCTACTTAGGCAATGGAAAACAAATAAATACTTGGTTTGTCACCTGCCACCTTCAGGGTACATTAGCAGTAAGCTGGAGTCAGAAGTGAAGCTGAGACTCGAGTGCAATCACTCTGGGGTAGAATGTACGTGTCCCAAGTAGCCATCTCTACTAATGCACCAAAATGCCCACCTCTCCCATTTGTTTTTAGTCAGGAACAACCCCAGTTATAAACCTAGGATGTGATAACCATTTGGCTTGAAACTAGCTATTCAACTCCAAAGTGTTTTCTGTAATCCTGAAAAAATAGAATTTTCAAAGAGTTAACCTCTGTCTCAACTGGTTATCCAAATTAATGTGGCAGGATCTTCTGTTTTAAGCTAAAGGATTTATGGGTTAAAGTAATCTATGACTCCAAAATTAACACTTCTGTATAGCTATGGTCAGAATTTATATCTGTTCTATGTGTTTGTGTCTTTACTTAGGACTCAACATTAAGATCAGTTGAGTTCAGCAAATAGTTATTCAGTGTCTTTAATTTTTTTGGTATGCATTAGGAGAGGGAAAAAAAGATGAATCCCCAACCCAATAATAGAGGAGATCAACAGATAAATAAGAGGGGTGGGTATTTGGCACAGCAGTCTGGATGCTGGCTAAGATGCTAGCATCTCATGGTAGAGAGCCTGGGGTAAAATCTTAGCTGTACTTTCAATTCTAGCTTGTTGTTAAAATATGGACTCTGGGAGGCAGCAGGTAAGGGTCTAAACTGGTTGGGTCCCTTCTATTTCAAAGGGAGGCCTGTATTGAATTCTAACTTCCTGGCTTTGGCTTGATCCAGTATAGGGCATTAAAGGTATTTGGGAAGTGAACTAGCAGATAGCAGCTCTCTGTCTCTGCCTTCCAAATAAAATAAATAAA